TTTCCTTAATTTTTATTCTTTTTTTTCTTTTTTTTTGTATTTATTTTTTTCTTTTTTATTTTATTTTTATCTGTTTAGGGTGCCTAAGCATGGCAAACAACGGCCGCAACACAAACACCTCTCCCTTTTTTTTTTTTTTTTTTTTTTTTTTTTTTTTTCCNTTTTTTTTTTTTTTTTTTTTTTTTTCTATTTTCCTCAATTTTTATTCTTTCTTATTCATTTTTGTCTCTTTTTTTTTCTTTTTTTTTCTTTTTTTCTCCTTTTTTCCTTTTTATTCTTTTTTATTCTTTTATGTATATTTTTTCTCTATTTAGGGTGCCTAAGCATGGCAAACAACGGTCGCAACACAAACACATCTCAGTTTCTTTTTTTTTTTCTATTTTCCTCAATTTTACTTCTTTTTCATTCTTTTTTTTTCTATTTTCTTCAATTTTATTCTTTTTTATTCTTTTTTTTTCTTTTTTTTCTTTTGTTTCTCTTTCTAGGTTGTCTAAGCATGGCAAACAACGGCCGCAACACAAACACATCTCAGTTTTTTATAACATTAAAAAAAACTCCGCAGTTTGATGGAAAGCATCAGGTTATAGGTCAGCTAATTGAAGGAATGGAAGTTCTTAGAGCCATGCAAGAGGTGCCTGTACACCCCAATTCACAAATACCCAGAGTAGACATCGTTATTTCAGGNCAGAGTAGACATCGTTATTTCAGGTTTGTCTTTTATTTATTTATTTATTTATTTTGTTTTTTATTTAGTTCTTTGTTTGTCTCTTTTTTATTTATTTATTTTCTTTTTTTTTTATTTTTTTTTTTAATTTATTTAGAGCCATGCAAGAGGTGCCTGTACACCCCAATTCACAAATACCCAGAGTAGACATCGTTATTTCAGGTTTGTCTTTTATTTATTTATTTATTTATTTTGTTTTTTATTTAGTTTTTGATTGTCTTTTATTTATTTATTTTTTTTCTTTTTTAGTTTTCTTTTTTATTTATTTAGAGCCATGCAAGAGGTGCCTGTACACCCCAATTCACAAATACCCAGAGTAGACATCGTTATTTCAGGTTTGTCTTTTATTTATTTATTTTGTTTTTTAGTTTTTTATTTAGTTTTTGATTGTCTTTTATTTATTTATTTTTTTTCTTTCTTTTTTAGTTTTTTTTTTATTTATTTTGTTCTTTGTTTGTGCCTGTACACCCCAATTCACAAATACCCAGAGTAGACATCGTTATTTCAGGTTTGTCTTTTATTTATTTATTTATTTTTATTTTTTATTTATTTAGTTTTTTGTTTGTTTGTCTCTTTTTTATTTATTTATTTTTTTTTATTTTTTATTTTTTTTTTAATTTATTTAGAGCCATGCAAGAGGTGCCTGTACACCCCAATTCACAAATACCCAGAGTAGACATCGTTATTTCAGGTTTGTCTCTTTTTTATTCTTTTTTATTTATTTATTTAGTTTTTTATTTAGTTCTTTCATTGTCTTCTGTTTTATTGTTTCGGTTTACGCTTTAGCGTCTAGCCTCTATCCTCTAGCCTCTAGGGTTTAGGGTTTAGGGTTTAGGGTTTATGTTTTATGTTTTATGTTTAATGTTTTATGTTTTATGTTTTAGCATCTAGGGTTTACGCTTTAGCGTCTCTATCGCCTCTATCGCCTCTATCGCCTCTATCGCCTCTAGGGTTTAGGGTTTAGGGTTTAGGGTTTAGGGTTTAGGGTTTAGGGTGTATTATGTTGTATAGGTTGTGGCCAGCTAGCAGCACCAGCAGCACTAAGAAATGCATCTATGTTGGGGGTCCGCTCGCAGCTTGAAGCTCTGATGAATAAACATAAAAAAGATATTTTAAAACAAGCAGCTGATGCACATAAACTTAAAGGTTTGTTGTTGCTGCTGCTGCTGCTGCTGCTGCTGCTGCTGCTGCTGCTGGTGATGGTGGTGATGGTGATGGTGGTGGTGCTGATGGTGATGTTGGTGCTGGTGATGGTGGTGCTGATGGTGGTGGTGGTGCTGCTGGTGCTGCTGATGATGGTGGTGGTGGTGCTGCTGCTGCTGTTGCTGGTGATGATGATGGTGGTGCTGATGGTGGTGGTGGCGGGGGTGGTGGTGGTGCTGCTGCTGCTGATGGTGTTGCTGCTGCTACTTGTGTGTTGCTGCTGCATTTCCATTTGCTACTGCTGCTCCTTCTGCTGCTGTTGTTGCTGCTGCTGCTGCTGCTGCTGCAGCTGCTGCTATCTTTGCTGCTGGTGCCTTTCGTGCTGCAATGAAATTGATTGTTGCTGCTGCTGCTACATGTGCTGCTGCTGCTACATGTGCTGCTGCTGCTGCTGCATGCGGTACTGCTCCATGTGCTGCTACTGCTGCATGTGCTGCTGCTGCTGCTGCTGCTGCTGCTGATGCTGTGTAGGTAGCGACGAGGAGTCCGTCAGCAGCAGCAGCAGCAGCGAGTCTGAGTCTGCTTCTTCTTTTTACGATAAAAAGAAGAGACAGGAAAGAAAGAGATTAAGATTTTTAGAGAGCAGCACGCATGCAGCAAGACAAGCCCTAGACAAGCTTGCTGCTGCTGCTGCAGCAGGGGTCACACTCAAACAGCTGCTGCAGCCTGAAACACCAATGGCAGCAGCAGCAGCAGCAGCAGCAGGAGGAGAAGGAGCAGCAGCAGCAGCAGGAGCAGCTATTTATGATGCAGACAGCAGCAGCAGCGAGGAAGACACGCAGCAGCAAAGACAGCAGCAAAAAAAATATACTGCTGCAGCAGCAGCAGCAGAAGCAGCAGCAATTGATCCCCTCGGTAAACTGCTGCTGGAGCTAGATGAGGAAGCAGAATCAGAGGCAGACCAAAGCAGCAGCAGCAGCAGCAGCAGCAGCAACAGCAGCAGCAGCAGCAGCAGCAGCAGCAAGACAGCAGCACGATCGCTGCTGCAGGAGAGGAAGCAAAAGCTGCTGTCTCTCCGCCTGCAGCTCAATCAGGGAAGAGCACTCAACTCTAAAGAGGTAATACAGCAACAGCAGCAGCAGCAGCAGCGGCAGCAGCAGCAGCAGCAGCAGTAGCAGCAGTAGCAGCAGCAGAAGTAGCAGCTGTAGCAGTAGCAGCAGCAGTAACAGCAGCAGTAGCAGGGGTAGCAGCAGCAGCAGCAGCAGCAGCAGTAGTAGTAGCAGCAGCAGCATCAGCAGCAGTAGTAGTAGCAGAATCTGTAGCAGCAGCAGCAGCAGCAGCAGTAGCAGCAGCAGCAGTAGCAGCAGCAGCAGCAGTAGCAGCAGAAGCAGTAGCAGCAGTAGCAGCAGCAGAAATAGCAGCTGTAGCAGTAGCAGCAGCAGTAGCAGTAGCAGTAGCAGCAGTAGCAGTAGCAGTAGCCGCAGCAGCAGTAGCAGCAGCAGTAGCAGCAGCAGCAGCAGCAGCAGCAGCAGCAGCAAAAAGATGCATTGAATTTGGCTGCTGCTGTGCTTTCCGTGTCACCATATATTTTTTGTTTTCTCATTTCCTCTTTCTGCTGCTGCTGCTGCTGCTGCTGCTGCTGCTACTGCTGCTGCTGCTGCTGCTGCTGCTGCTGCTGCTGCAGGTGCTAGAAGAGAAGAAGCAATGGGAGACACCGGAAGCAGCAGCAGCAGCAGCAGCAGCAGAAGCTCGCGAAGCATACAAACGGCTGCAGGAGGCCCCCATGTATCGTTTGTATCAGGAAGAAACAGATGCAGCAGCAGCAGCAGCAGCAGCAGCAGAACCAAGCAGCAGCAGCAGCAGCAGCAGCAGCAGCAGCAGCGGGCGAGCAGCAGCAGCAGCAGCAGCAGTTTCTAGTGATGAAGAGGAAGAAGCAAATAAAAAAAATAAAAAAAATAAATCCTTGTCTGCGCGGCAGCTGCTTAACACAACGCTAGCAGCAGCAGAAGAAACAGAAAAAATAAAAAAAAAAAAAACAAAAACTTCATTTGGGTGGAATGTATTTAATGTTGATGCTATTTATAGAGCTCATAAAAAAAGGTAAATACAAATAAAATACAGCAGCAGCAGCAGCAGCAGCAGCAGCAGCAGAGGAGCAGCAGCAGCAGCAGCAGCAGCAGCAGTAGGAGCAGCAGCAGCAGGGGAGGAGCAGTAGCAGTAGAAGCAGCAGCAGCAGCAGACGCAGTATCTATATCTATATATATA